ATGTGCTCTGCTTGCTTCTCCTACATCCTGTAAGCAAATACTGCTGGATCTGCACATGCCTTGGCACTGTCCTGATGAGAGGAAGGGATAAGCTGGGAAGTCAAAGATGCTAGCAAGGTAACCCAAGGGAAGTAAACTTTGGTGACATTCTAGCCAAATCTCATTTGCACTGTGAAGGAGAATGAAGTGACAAAGCAGTGGGAAAACAAATTGTTAGGGAGAAAAGAGGTAGCAACTGCAGTCCAGCAGTTCCCTGCCCTGTGCTCAAGTGCACACTGACCACATATACACTCAGACTCCTTCAGAAAATGGACATCCCCTTGCCAGCGAGTGAAGAAAGGATAGAAAGCTGCTCCGGAGCAATATATGTGAAGCATGACCGAGTATGTCAAATAACTAAACTCTTTGGTATTAGATCTTCTGCAGTCAGTATGTCATGCCTTGACACCTAAGTGATGCCTAATATTTTTCATCTCTAATTAAACCACTGTGACAGGTCACAGCAGTGACTGGGTAGAGCTATGCTGGGAGTCAGGAGGGCACAGCAACTGCCTCTGTCTTTCTTAAAGGCATTAAAGGCTTCCTCACTTCCTCATTTCAGCTTTTACCCCCAAACTCAGATGGGTTCAGGAAGCAAGTGAATGTGATGCAAATTGTACAATTTTATTGCAACCAAATGTAAATGCTTTCAGCTCTGTTGTTGTATCTGCTCAAGGGTTTGTTTAGATTTTCAATTTGTTGTTGGTTTGGTTTCAGTCAGGGCTTACTATGTTTAAATTACAGCCTTGTGTAAGATCTCTTCAGTAGAACATATATCAAAAGAATGCAGAGGTTGTTAACCACAAGATGGCACCTCCAATCTGGGTGGCCTTACTGCCTAATAACCTATCAGGGTTGTGCACAAATTTATGGTGCTTGTAGCCAGAGATGAAATTTAATGGCTTAAGGAATAAGCATTCAGAAGTACCCATGAATAGAAAAATCTAAGACTTAAGTTTTAAAGCTGGTTAAATCATGTGCTTGCAGACAGAAGGTTAGACCTATTGAGAATATATATGGCTTCAAAACTTTTAATAGGTTTCAGCCTGCCACAGCACACATCACAGCTGTGGCTGAGTATGGGTCTTTCTCTATAGAGACTCATTACCATGGGAAGAAAAGGATAATAAAATAGATGGACGTCAGTAAAGTCCATCATTTGTGACGCTTTAGCTCAAAGGTACTTTCCAGAATGTGGCTTGACAGACTTCATTTCAGTGTTAAATATTAAAACTGGGTTGGCAGACAGAAAAAATTTGGAGGGTTTTTACAGACCACCTTGAATTTGTCATAACTTTGTTAAAAGCTTTAAGGGCTCAAGAAAAATTGAAAGTACCTGATATCTCAAGAAAACATGCCAAAAAAATCCCCTTTTCCGACTGTTTTTGAGTTGCATATACAAGGTGAACAATCATGGGGGGAAAAAATTAATTTAAATTGATTCAACTAGGCATACTTCACATGTTTTTAATCTTCCCACCCAAGGCGACCTCAGCTAATCTAATGTATGCACATAATGATTCTTCATTTGTTTAACAAGTCATTTGTGCAAGAAGAACATGAATTTGAAACGCTAACCTAATCTCCAGCATCAAGAAGAGTTATGTCAGGTTGTCTGTATGTATGCAAGACCTAGCTGTTGGCTGTTGTTTCTTTCAGCAGCCAAACCATTTTTGAGAGTGACTGCTTTCTGCAGTGAATCTCCAGTGATTTTGTCCAGTTTTTTATGTATTTTGTGCTGAACTTAAAGACAGATCTTGAAGTAATCTTTGTCTCCAAATTAGCACTCTGTAGGCAAAACCTTGCATGCCTTTGTGTTGCTGAAAGGAATTATTACCAGTCTGTCATTGACCAGCTTATTTCCTAAGTGCAAAAGACTGTTTCTGCTTTCTTCCTCATTGATATTTTGTGACAGAAAAACTGCACTGAGGAGTTAGAAGGGGTATACTAGTAGGTGCCAGGATTATAATGAGCATAATTAATTTGGGTATATACCAAGAGCAGTATTGCACTAAATATTCAGAAAAAGCCCCTGAATCATCACACTCTATTAGTCTTTTCATTGCAGAGCTGTAAAATAAAAGTAAGGTCACCCAAAGCCAACTTCTGTTTTCACTTGCAGCCTTGCTCATCGTCATGCAAAATTTAATACACTTGACGTTTTAGATGCTAAAATTTCATTGTAATCTAAATACCAGTATTCAGATTTTCATGAGTTTGCATTTAAGATTTTTTTTCTCTACACGTCTGTTAATTTTTAGATTCTCTAGTGAGTTTGAATGAAAATGTGAAAGCAGTATCTTAAATGATTGCATTTATAAATTATGCTATTGCATTATAAATTTTGGTATTACTAAGTCCCTCTCAACTGTAGAAATCTCATCACGTATACATTTATGTCTGGATAATGGAAATGTTTGTTCTGCTTGTTCAAATAGGTAGACTTATACCTTAGCAAATAGTATAACAGCTAAGATAAAGACTTAGAAAAGCTCCATTTTGATCAACTGTTACTTTTCATGCTGTTAAAATTACATTTAATCAATTGCTTTGGTATTTATTTGTTCAGGCAAAAAAAAAATAATCCTGAGAACACTGATAATCTACTTATTTAGAAAAATACATGTTTTACAAAATGTACCTTGCAGAAATGAGCCCCTTATAAAATCTTTAAATAATCTGTACAGAGAAACACCCAAATCCCATAGAGTTTGTTGAAAAGAATATTGTAAATTTCAATAGGCTTTTGTTGATTAGGATATTGTGGAGGTAAATACTTTCTGTCACCATAAGAGCTCTGTTTCTATTCATTGTAAGAACAGCATGATTAGAAGTACAAATATTACAGCATACATCAAGCAAAACCCTTCACTAAGGATCTATAGAGGCCATTAAACAAAGTACGTCTAAGAACTTTTAAACTTAAACTGACAATGAAACTGAAAACTATATAACATTTAAGTGGGAAACTGAAACATATGTAGCATTTAAGTGGGATAAGGCTCATGCCCCATGAAGAAACTTCATTTTCTTTATTCTATTCTATTTATTCAGAGCATTTTTCTGTCCCTCCTCTGTCATGCTATCCTGAAAGTTATTTATATATTGGTTGATGGTTTGGGGTCTTTTTGCTGTATCAAGCATTCCTTTTAAATAAAAATGCCTTTAATTACCGATAAGAAAACATTGTCATTATTATCTGACGATGTGCTCTCCGCACAGGCCTGTCCCAAAATCGCGTGTGATGGCAGCAGCACTGAGCAGCATTCCCAAGCATGCTTTCTTTCCCAGCTGTAAAGAAGGCAGGCAATCATCTAAGGTCTGAGCAGGGCTCAGCAGCCCCGGTGAGGGCACAGAATCCTCATCACCTTTGCCTGTTGGTGCAGAGCTGAGAGCCACTGCCCCTCTGTCACTGTCCCAGCCTGGGCAGGTCAGGTGGGAGCAAGCTGGATATGTCTGCTCACAACATAATCAAACCTTCAGGTTAGCTCTGGACCCACCTTCAGCTACTCCTGGGTATCTCAGACCTTTGGAGAGATATTCGTTTTGATATACCACAGGGCTTAGTACTGGATAGTAGTAAAAGCAAAATATAAATGTTGCTGCTTTCATTCTCGTCTGGAAGATTCTCCAGCAAATTGCCCAAGAAATGTTTTCTCCTCCCTCAAGTTTTTAGAGCTGTAGCTTTTATTATGTACCTCTCCCACACTGCAATCCTGTACATTTTTTCCAATTTCCAGCAGAGAGAGTTGTAGATGCAGAATTTATGTTAGTTACAAACTTGTATTTGTAACTATTACTCCATTATATAAATGGAGTAAGAAAAATTTTTACAGGACTTTCAGAATATGGATTTTATTTACAACTTGAAAGTATCACATTAAGATCATACTTTCTCAAGGCCACACTCAAGATAGTTTGGATCTACTTGAAAATCTGTTTTTAAAAACCACCTTTAACTGAAATTAGTATTTGCTAGTGTCTTCTCATGCACAGTGCTAAAAATGAGAGAACAGATACAGTGCCAATGACTTCAAATGTTCGTCATAAAAGCTGTCTAGGTCCATTCAACATGAAGTCTGCATTTCTGCATACCCTGCCAAAGAAAAGTTCCAAATGCACATTCCTTACACAATTCTTTTATTGGGATTTTTTGCAAATGACTCATGTTCTGAAGAGATCTAACTCAGATAAAACCCATGAAATAGTGTATTTTACATTTTGTCTTCCCGAGCAGGTTCCCCGGCAGGTCTTTTGAAATGAGCTATTCCTCCTGAAAAGCACTCTATAAATTCTAAAATGTTTGATCAAACACTCTACTTATTAGTTTTGCAGAACTAGAAGGAAGTTTCATTAAAAGAGTAAGCTATATGACCCCCTTAAAATCCAAGCAGCCACAGGTCCCAGCAACCTCAGCAGCCATCAGGGCAGCATGGCCAGGAACATTACTTAAATTGAAACATTTTTTGTACTACTGCAAAAGTACAGCATCCACATAAAAAGTAGGTCTCAAGTGCTGGTCATTTGGAATCACATCATTACTGCTCCACAACCTGCAAATGAATTTTCTATTTTTACAGAACATAGTTTTGATATTTGGCATGACAGCAGCAGGTACAGAAAATCTATCTATGTAGTACAATATCTGTAAGCATCCAATTTTTTCAGCTTCTCAATTCTTTAGCATCTATAATACCGTTTCTTCTATGTGTATCTTTTCCTTCTGCACAAGTTAAATTAATCTTTTCTTCTTTACAAACTTTAGCTGATGTCTCACTAGACTGCCAACATATAGGTGAATCATAGCATGGTCATTTGGTTAAAAGCAGAAAATGTGATCTTTGACAGTATCTAGCACATTATTTTACAGGAACTTCTTATAGATGATTCACTGAATTCAGTTTTATTTAACAATGTCACTTGTGGTCATTCACATGCTATGCCAATTTTTCTTTTTCTAGGTACACGAAAATGAAGACTGCCACCAACATCTATATTTTCAATCTTGCATTAGCAGATGCCCTAGCAACAAGTACTCTGCCATTCCAGAGTGTGAATTACTTGATGGGAACGTGGCCATTCGGTACCATCCTTTGTAAGATTGTTATATCCATAGACTACTACAATATGTTCACCAGTATCTTCACACTCTGCACCATGAGTGTGGATCGCTACGTGGCTGTTTGCCATCCAGTTAAGGCCCTCGATTTCCGTACCCCCCGAAATGCCAAAATTATCAATGTCTGCAACTGGATTCTTTCCTCTGCCATTGGCCTGCCAGTTATGTTCATGGCAACGACTAAATACAGGCATGGTAAGTCTGGCTTTCATTCCTAAACTGAGTACTCAGCATTTAAAATCCTTTCTGCATTTTTTCACTGCAATGTAGAGACATTGAATTAACTTTTGACCTCCAACTCCTGTAAAGCAAGTGTCAGTGCAAATTTTGCATCTGGCTGTAGTTGACTGGACAAGCAGTGCATGTCGTCTTTGTTTTATGCCAAGCAGCTCCAGCTCCTTCTGTGAAAGTCCCGCTTGCTCCTCCTTCCATGCAAGTCCTGCTGTGCCACTCGATTACTGTAATGTTTGAAAAAGCATCTGTGCCTGCCTGCCTTCTCCTGTGGGGCATTTCTGCATTACCCTACAGCACAGGAGCCTGTGCTTTACCCAGGATACTCCCACTGGGAAGCTGGCCGTCATAGATACGTTACACCCTGTCTGGCAGGACATGGTACAGAGCAGAGAGCACGTTCTGGACACTGGTGCTCCGAGACCTTCCATAAAGGGGCAGTGACAGCATGTCAACATAAATCCAGACCCTCCACAGTGCATAGTTACCAAGTGTCATTCTCTTCCCCATTGCCCTGAAATGTCCAAACTCTGAGCATATATGGTGGCTTAACAATCTTTCTTTTTACCACGTTTTATACTGGAAGTGAAAATGAGTCAAAGTGTAAGCACTTATGACAAATCAGCTCTTTTCCTTTTAAGCATACATTAAATTCCAAGTCATAATATGCAAAAGAGAACATGTTAATTTGGTTTTGTTTTCCTAACTCACGCTTCATGCATGTTTTGCAGCACTCTATCCTACCAATGTTTGTGCAGATGACAGATCACAGATTGCTTCATTTTACATGTTTACTTAGGTGTAAAGTCTTCATATATTTGCCTATGATATTTAATTAAAGAAAGGTTTAAAGAAAAGCCAATGAAAAACTGACCTGTGTGTTCTTCTCTGCTGTTTTCCTTTTCCTCAGGCTCAATTGACTGCACACTTACATTCTCCCACCCTGCTTGGTACTGGGAGAACCTCCTGAAAATCTGTGTCTTCATCTTTGCCTTCATCATGCCAGTCCTGATCATTACCGTGTGCTATGGGCTGATGATTTTACGCCTGAAGAGTGTCCGCATGTTATCCGGCTCCAAAGAGAAGGATAGGAACCTGCGGAGGATCACGAGGATGGTTCTTGTGGTGGTGGCAGTGTTTATTGTCTGCTGGACTCCCATCCACATTTATGTTATCATTAAAGCCCTGGTCAACATCCCAGAAACTACTTTCCAGACTGTCTCCTGGCACTTCTGTATTGCTCTAGGGTATACAAATAGCTGCCTTAATCCAGTCCTTTATGCATTTCTAGATGAGAATTTCAAAAGGTGTTTCAGAGAGTTCTGCATCCCCACTTCCTCAACCATTGAGCAGCAAAACTCCACCCGAGTCCGACAAAACACTCGTGACCATGCTTCCACTGCCAACACTGTGGATAGGACTAACCATCAGGTATGACTAGCAGTGGAGATGTCATCTCTGGATCCAGGCCACCAGCTTGGAGATGACATGTGCTCTGAAGTTACCACTTACACTGATTTGTAGCTTTTGGAAGGTCTGAACACTTTCAAGGTTATATTTGAAACTGGTGTATGCATACACAGAGACCCCAGTCCAGCATGGTGCTAATTGTTCTCTGCCCTGCTTGATGCTCAGAAGCCAAGGGTTCTAAAGGGTACCTTGAGTGACTGGGTCCAGCGTGCATGCATGTACAAAGCACTTATAACAGTGTTTCACTTGCAGGATGTTTGCAACAGGATGAAAATTAATCACAGATTTTCCTGTTCATACTCCTCGTCTGATGATGGAGACAGGAGTGGGACAGAATACAGATCTCTCTTCTCCCATTGCAACAGTGAATAAAAAGATAAAAAACTGTGCTTGTTCACTTTTGATTGATGTACAAAGAAGGCCTACCTGGCCTTGTTTGTCCTGAAAGTCATGTAAGAGATAGACCAAGGCTTGTCTACATGCAGTTTTTGTGTCAGATAATTATGTGGTGAATAAGGAAGGGTTAGATATATACGTGTATATATATATGTATACATAAAAATATATACACACATGTTAAATACTAATGTGCCATTTTGCCATTACCATACCAAGAAAAATACCTTTTCGATGTAGAAAAAGCCTTTAAGAAGTAGGGATTTTATGGCACATCAGATAACAAGAGTTGTTTTTTTTAATTATTATTCAGCCTATTTTTGCATAGTTTTTGTGACGTAGCTCTTTCGTACATGTTCAATATCCATTGTCCTGTGTTTAGTCTTGAGAATTTCCAAGTTCCATCTCTCAGCAAAACATGAAAGCAAATCTTAACATTCATGAAAGTAATTCAAGCACATTTCAAGCACTAGAATAAGTTTGAGTTGTCTCTGTAATTCCTTAAAAATAAGAACAAAAGGCTGATTCATTCCTTGCCATATCACCTTTCAGCAATATACTTAGGTTGCTCATGCAACACTTTCTCACTGCTGCCACTTCAGCCACAAGCTGGCTGCCTCCTCGAGGTGCAGAACACAGGGGCTTCTTGTGAAAGCAGCTACCTGCCTGACACTCAGCTGCTGACAGATAGCCCAAATAAGAGTATTCCCATCTCCAAGGAGACTAAACAGTATTTGCACCACAAAAGAGGAGGGAAGTCTAAAGGGAGAAGGGCTAAAGCAAGAAGCTTTATTAAGCATCAAGAATTGGTGTTGTTCACCAGTGTGTGATTCATACATGCCAAACTGTGGCCTGTGAAATTGGCACCTCAGTCTGGTCGTGAAGCAGAACCACCAAACTTGGCATAGGTGCACATATATATGTATGTATGTATGTATGTACGTATGTATTGTAGTATTTACTAGGTGTAGCAAATTACTACATTCATCTGTTAATAATGCATTTGTAATCATCAATGGAGTCAATTTTGTGCATGTGTCTGACAACAAGATTGTATTTCTGTCTAGTACAATTCCAGCTTTTTAGAGTGCAGTGTGTATGCACTCATTTTCTACCTTTAGCTATATATCTTTATATTACTTCTAGGAGACCTATAGCCTTCTAAACTTCTACCCAAAAGATTAATGTGGTACTGCCTAGAGGCTGAGCAAAATAAAATCTGTTTCCCTGAGCACTGACCAAGCACAGAATAGAAAATGATATTTCCCAGAGAGATGTTTAGCCTACACCACCAAGAGACATATCCTGCTGGGGCAGGGATGGAGCAAGCAAGTGAAGTGATCTTGAGAGTGGCAATGAGGAGGAAGCTAGTCCTATAGTTGGGTTCTTTGCTGGTTAGGATTTTTGTTTTTCTTCCGGGAATGGTGTTGAAATAAATTAGTTATGAAGAAATAAAACATCTGTAAAGGGGAAGGGAAGGGAAGGGAAGGGAAGGGAAGGGAAGGGAAGGGAAGGGAAGGGAAGGGAAGGGAAGGGAAGAATGCTAAGGAGAAAGATAAATGTAAGGAATGCAGTCCAAGTGAGGCAGTAAGGATGGAAACTGATTGGCAAAGAGCCGATCTGCATAGAACAAAAAATGGGGTATGCAGAGCTGGAAAAAGTTTGGCTACTTTGATAGCTCTGCCTAGCAACTAACCATCAGTTTTCCCCAGAGCCAGGGAGAAGAAGCACTTGGTAGCTCAGGTCTTCATAGGTGAGTGGCTAGGTCTTTGCATGCTCAGGTGTTTGAAAGACTCTGGAGTGGCCAACTCCACTTCCCTCACCACCATCCCTGCAGTCCTTGCTTTGGCAGCTGCTGTTGCTGCCATTGGTTTATTTCTGCCAGATGTGCTCCCTGAATGCTGACCTAGGACTTCTCCCTGGAGTTCAGTTCAGCAGCTATTTGGTACAGTCTTTCCACAACGTCTGTAGAATACATTCACAAGCAAGCCATGTTCAAAGCTTACTGTTAAACTTATCTTTTTTCTCCAGCAAATATTTCTGTAAGAGACATGTTTTGATGACTGCTTTTATCAGAATGAGAGACAAGATTGCTGAACTAATCTACACTAAAAAGGTTCTCTAGAATAGTAATTACAAATGTAATACCTAATATTTTTATATTATTATTTTAAACACAAAAACCCCTAGAGTGAATGCAGCTTTAGCTATCAGAAAAGAAAAAAAGAAAATAACTGCCCAGACAAACCAATATTTGCTCAGACAGTGAGATTCTGTAAATTCTATAGACAGGGTATTCTTTTTACAGGTGAGTGCTTACTATAAAAGAAACTCTAGCTTGTGTATCTATTGATTAAAGTATACTGACAAGCTCTTTCTTGTATAGACAAGGCATTGGAGAGCATTTGGTATGAATTCTAATTGCAAAGCTGTGTAGTACTTGGCATGCTTCATATAATTTTCTAAGAAACAGATGTTCTACAAGTTATTTTTTTGCCAAGTGAGAATTCTTTTCTCCTGCTAAAGTTAATGAGAACTGCAAGGCTCAATCACGTAAGGCCTAACACTCTTAAAGCATTTCAAAGCATTTAGAATTAACACTCTTAAGTATTTAAGTTGTTGGAAGGAACAACAGTGTCTTCTATCAGTTCAAAAGCACCAATAGGAAACATCATAAATATTCATATTATTCTGAGTTAATATACTGGCCTTTGGCCTACTCTTTGCCTCCTTGGCATTACCAAAAAGGTCTAGATTTAGTGCTTATAATTTTCAGGAGGGTTTATGCAATCTTATGCATGGAGAATGAGTGATGTAATCCTGGGGAGAAAAAATGCTCAAAAAGCAAAACTACTTTCTTTGAACTTTTTTCTTTATGACCAAGTATTGGCAGGGGAGGGGAATGAAGGACTAAGTAGTAGCTTTTGCAAATGGCTGAGGGTTTTTTGATGTTGTTAACATTAACCGATTCCTATCAAAATCTTGGCAAGTATTTTGAAATAGCTTTTACTTCAGATGCTCAGAAACTTCCTGCATCAATTTACCTCTGAAATTAAAAGAAGTTTAAATATAAAATCAATTGATAGTTATTTTCCCCTGAAAACTAAGCTTTTGCTAGTATCTATGTGTTAAAAGCAAAAAAATCTTAAATAATTATGGAACTGGATTGTTAATAATTACAGAAATCTGAGAAATTTGTTTCAGTGGATTAGTTTCTTTGTGACCCATTTTTATAGCTGCTTTTATAGCAACTTCACCTGAATGTATCCAAGCAACTAAGCCAGTTATATATAGGCACATCTTCAGGACTATTTAGTCATCCCATGTGTAACTCCAGTTTTAGCTTCTGATGCTTTCTTGTCAACTACTGAAATGTCTAAATGCCCTAATGGAAATTGTAAATCCTCCCCATATGCTGAAAATGAGGCCTCAGATATGTTCAATAATAAAAGGCTTAGCCCTGAAAGCTTTGCCTTTACTGGCTGGATTGGCAGCCACATGTAGAAATAAAAAGGATATTGGATTCAAGAAAAAGTTTTTAAGTTAAAACAAGGGAAAACTGAAAGTTAGTTTCACTTTTATCAAATAAATGAAGAAAGTGTTTTCTTACTTCTTAATTTTTCTTGTGAATAAATATGGGGAATGCTGGTGATTCCTGTTGCAGAAACATGAAAAAAAAATGGGCAGCTTCTTGACAGATTCACATCTACCTGCATTAACAGAGAATGGTGTTCCTGTGTATTTTCAGAAAGTTAATACATCTCCTTTGTGAATTATACTGTATTTCAATAATAATTTCGAAGTACTGGTTTCTTTAAAAGCCCGCTTCTGGCGAGATAGTGACATCTATGAAACACTTGTCTAAGTTCAATAGATCCTTAAAACTGGGCTATCTTTTGTAACTAATATGCCTTGACATGGGCTCTTTGTGAATTTCCAGGCTTCATCTGTGTCTCTGCTTTCCACTCCATAAACCCGTGATTTGCAGTGACTCCCACCCAGCTCTCAACAGGTTCTGGTACAAAATTAGCTGAGCAAAAAGGGGTAGCAGCCTTTCAGGACATGCCGTGCAGTGAGCAGGTTTTCTTGATGAGAATATCTGTAGTGCTACCATTCTTGCATGCAAGTAGGACTCAGCATGGAGACTGTGGACACACAGGGCTGAGAGGTTGTTGGGTTTGTTTGCTGATGTAAGTCCATCTCAGACAGTGTTTAAACTAGACTGTAACTGAAAATCAAAAAGTTAGACACTTCTGATGTATTCAACTAAAATACTAATTCCCCTGTAACTGCTACAGAAACAATACATAAAGGGAGTGAAGTTTTTCCATGCTCATGAAATTCACAGAGAGGTCCACCCTAGAAAGAGAACAACTGGCTTGATATGAAGTATATTCTAATTCAAATTTCAGACCTAGTAATGTTTCTTTGTGATCATTTCCTCTGTTGCTTCATGGCAAAAGAATAGTCTTGCCTTACTCTGGGCTATGTGCTTAGTTAGCTTTATACATCAGGACAGTAGCTGCAAATAAGAAATAAATTCCTCCTAAAAAAACCACACACACACAAGCTTGTGGGTGGGAAGATACCAAGCAATTGTTCATTGTATTTGCAATTTCTTTCCTTTCAGTTGGAACTTCAAGAAGCTGAAACCACTCCACTGCCGTGACAGGGTCTCCTGCTGCATGGCTCTCAGAGCAATTCCACTGCCACAGTGTGCCAGTGGGAACATGTAGGATATGCTTTCCCTCAAAAAAAATACCACAGAGGAAAGTGCCTGCTTTTTCCAGTCTGTCAAAAATTGCTTCTGCTGCACATCTGCACTGCACATAACAGAAGCATGAAATGTAACAGCGAGCAGGGCCAGGAGATGTGGGGCCTTCCAGGCTCCAGTGTTCAAAGCAGTCCTGTTCACCAGGAGCACATTCCTTAGTCTAAAACAAAGCTACCGTGCCTCTAGCAACCCGACATGCTCTTGGTAAGTTACAGTGGTGTTAAAACAGGTTGGAAAGAAAAATTCAAACACTAGACAACTATAGTTTGAACAATAAGGTGAGCTCTTGAGGATGGAAAATTATGGGATATGAAGTTGTAATACTGTTAGGTACACTCTATTTACTCTTAAAATTTATTTGTAGAGATGTTTTCTGTGCAGGTTATTTGCGTGCTGAAGTCTCACAAGATCATGTCAAACAACACATTTGTTGTTCACGAGGTCTTCTCTTGCAAGGGTAACACTTTCTGCAGTTTCAAAGGAAATTTTTTTTCAGTGATCCCTTAAAAAAATAAAACAAAAAAACCTAAAAAACCCCACCAAACAAAAAAATTTCCAAGCTTCATCTTCTGCTTCTATTTCATATATGTTAAAAAATACTTCAAAGTCAAAACAATGAGCTTTCACTTTTTCTAAGAGATGAGTAAATGAAAGTATTCTACATTGTTATTGATTGTTAAATGATCCCCAAAACAGCATATATTAACATAAATTTCTTTGTGAATAAAAATGCAGCTATAAGCCTGTCAGAGCGTGCACAAACTGATGATGTCTTCTCTTTCAAGTAGTTTCTCAAGTTTCAGCTGCTCTGTCAGCAGCATTTTCAATTTGTAAGTAAACAACAGCCCCTATGTGAAGTACTTGGAGCAGTTAGTGCATTAGACCTTTTAAAAAATATATTAAAATTTGCTATATATCTATTTTTTCTTAACCAAACCCATAGTGTGTTTGCTTTTCTAATCAACATAAATCATCTGCATTTTATATTAGCTGCTAAAACGCATTAAGATTTCAGGAAGAAATATTGTGCTGCAGCAAATGCCTTCTTAGCTGTTTTCTAGTATGAAAATTAGAAATATCCATGTAGATAACTTGTGGTGCAATGGTATTTTCTAGACATTGTTTGTTACTTGCTTTGTAAATAAATCATCAGTAGTTAACTGGGGAAAATGTACTTTGATGAATTTAAGTGTATTCTAAAATACAACTATACGGAGCAGGGGTTTTTTTTGTCTTTTTCTTTCTGCAGCCAAAATACATTTCTTATTTTCATTGTTAAATGTGAAACAATGAGCTTATAATGTGAAATTGTTTGTTTCTGCCATAGACTGCATAATAAAGATTGAAGACCAAATCTTTGCAAGTTGTAAATTAAAGGATTATTTGAGTTTCATCACTGTGTTGCAGCTAAATATGTAGCGTATATATCAGCAAAATATGAAGCTAGATATAACAAAAGTGCCTTAATTATCTTCTCTTTCTGTTGAAAATTCTTCTGTGTGGTCATATGGATTTATATTTAATTTTATGTTAGTTTAGTTGTATCACCTCATAGTCATCATTAAAGTTTAAGCAAGAGTCATCACCATTCTAAGAGGTTTTGCATCTAATTTTTAAACAGTGTAAGAGAGGCACTTGGAAGAAGTTGATGCATTGTTTTGCAGCACACAGCGGTATTATTTAAATAACAAAACCGACATAGAATACACTAGATTTAAATGGACTAACATCCTATGACATCATTACTACCTGATGTATTCAGAGTAGTCTGACATGCTTATATACAAAAATCAAAAATTTTTTAAATATTGAATGAGTATTTGGAAATTTTTAACTGATAGACCAAAGACATGTTTAAGTAAACTTAAGATCATAGTTTTGTGAGTAGTCAAAAGTTCAGCTTTCACAAAATTTACATAATTAATTGAAGCCATTATTTCTTCTTTACTTTGCATGAAGCACACAGGCACAATACTGTGACTTGCCAGCAGACAACCAAATATTTTAAGGACATTCTCTGTTTCTACAATCCAACAATTGAGAAACCTGACTGTAAATATGTTTAGCAGTAATAATGTTGTAGTCTTGATGGTTTAAGGATATGAGGAAGTAAATTTTATTAGCAGAGCACTAGCAAAAAGTAAGAAAAATATCTTTACTTTCAATAAGGCTTGAATGTTCATCAGTAGTGCTTTGCAGTAAGTAGCATATTATTACACAACTTCTGTATCTGCATTGCAAACCTTTAATAAAAATGTCTCTATTTCTTGTGGATTTGCACTCAACCCCATTGTACATATTTGTGGTGAAAACATTAAAAAGCACAGATCCCAAACAGACCCCTGAGGGAAACTATTTGTCACTGATGTCCCTCTGGACATTGAGCCTTACACCACTACTCTTTGGGCGTGGCTGTCCCAGCAGTTTCTCATCTATTGAACAGTCCACCCATCAAAGCCATACGTGCCCAATTTTGAGAGAAGGACATTGTGGGAGACCATGTCAAAAGTCTTACCTGTGTCCCGACAGGTGACACCCGAGGCCCTTCTCTAATCCACTGATGTAGTCACTCCATCATAGAGGGCCACAAGGTTGGTCAGGCAGGATTTGCCCTTGTTGAAGCCATACAGGCTTCAAATCCTGTAATGTCCCAAATCACCTCCCTGTCCTCCACGTGCCTTGACATAACTTCTAGGAATTTTGTGATGTTCCCAGACACAGAGCTGAGGCTGATATGTTGGTTCCCAGGAGTCTCCTTTCTACCCATTTTAAAGACAGATGCAATGTTTCCATTTTTCCAGTCACCTGGGACTACACTTGACTGCCATGACTTTTCAAATATGAAGAGAATGTCTTGGCAATTACATCAGCCAATTGCCTATTTACTTGAAAGAGTGTCTATGTAAGGGAAGAAAATTGAAGAGATTTTCTATTTAAATGTCCCCTTGACAAGAGGTGCTCCATCCTGGAGTTGACATTTTCCACTGCAGAGACAGACTCCATGAACCCAAGTCTCTGTGAGTTTGTCTCTCTCGAAGCTGGAATGTAGCTGAGTGTAATTGCAGAAGAAATATGCAGCTGAGTTGGCTTTGAGCTGACTTGTGCTGGTTCACTCAGCTAACAAAGGGAAGGGAGAGCTCAACAGCTGCACTCCCTGTCTTTTTGGCTTTATTGTTAATAAAGTTCAGGCAGCATGAGTGCACTTACCGGTGCTACAGCATCTGACTCTCATTTTGAATAATGGGAAGAAACCTTAGAAATCTACATCATGCCCTTCCATATCTCCAAATTAATACAAAAGTAGGGCACTTATATTAGATTGTGTCATGGGCAAAGTTGTCTCAACTAATTCTTGCTAATTGACCATAAGGACTCAGCTAATCAGGAAAAACTCTGGAAATAACTAAGTGCCAACTGCAGTGGTAAAAGTATTACTTTGGTGATCTCCAGTGGGTCCCTGCTCCAGTGTGGGTTGCCTGCAGACACAGTCCTCTGCGTGGTGTCCCTGTCCTTGCTACTTATCTTTCACAGGTTCAATGTGTTGGGTTCTATTTGATCGAAGCAGTTTTCTATATAAGGTCAATGTTTTGCCAAATTTACAAAAAAACAGTTTAGCTCTGATTTTCCAAGGACCATTCAATAATTTTTTTAAGTGACCTACTTCTGCATTACTGGATTTTCTCAGAACTGTTTTTAAGACCGTGTTCTCTTGAAAGACTTTTTGTACAAAAAAAACTGAAAGACGTTCTTTCAGCTTTTGCTTTGCATCAAACATTTTCTTCAATGTGTAGGATCAAAGTGATGACTTTTGTGTCAGGACTGTTAACTGCCTGGAAAACATATCTTCTGGGAATTGCCAGTACTGAAATTTCCAAACCAGGTGATAAGATCAGCACTTTACTTTCTACTGGTATCCAGCTCCCAATTTGACCAGCTGTTGTTTCTCCTGATCTTTTTAAAATTTTCTCTGGATTAGTGATTCTGTGTACTACATTTTGTCAAAGTGAAGGCAATGCTTGGACTTTCATATATTTTTGACTGAACTTTTTATCTGACACAGGATCATATTCTTCTCCTTTGCCCTCCCTTCCCTCCCCCCCACAAAGATTTCCAACAACTAGTTATTTTCTTTCTAATTTTTCAAAGAAACAATATATTTGTGAATAAGATGCAGTTTAGTTCAGGATCATCTGAGTTCTCTCTCACTTTTTACCAATTCTGTGAATGTACATATTCAAACCTTTTATATTAAATGTTTACTTGGTTTACTCAATAGTGCAGAGATGATACAGGCTGTTCAAATTTAATTGCTTTTTTTTGTATTCCTTCACTGGAATATTTTCTTGCATCTGATGTTCAAGAGAAGACAAGACAACAGGGAACCGACAGGCTCCAGGCATACACTGTTCACATGTAAATGATGCATCACGTTGTTGCACATCAACTTGCTGTCACAGTCTCTTTCTGTAAATATCTATTTTATTTTTCCCTTGTAATGCTGTCAGTAGGCAGCATCAGAAGAACTCATTCTTCTCGAGAGTCCTGTACATTGAGTCATAGGGATAAATACATCCTGGTAGATACAAATGTAATAAGGGGTCTGATGATGAAGACAGACAAAACTTCTTGCTCTGAAAGATTTACAAATCAAGATTGCTTCCATGTATCATAATGCAATTAGATAAAAAGAGAATGCATTATAACACTCACTAACACAAAAGTTATTATACAAAATTTACGAGATTTTTATTTTGAAGAGAGGATCAGACCATATCATAGTATCCACTTATGATGGATCAAAATTTCATGCATTTACATTAATTCTTGGTAATGGAGAAGATGAATCTCATCACCAGATGAACTCTGAATGGGAGGCCTCCCATTGATGCTGCTAATAACTATAATCTCCCTCTGTGCTGATGGTCTCTGGCTTAATGCAGTTTATTACAGAAGATTAATTTTTTTAAGTAT